GTTGACGAGTGCTCTTAGCGAGCAGGAGTGCAAGCCGAGTGGAAAATCGTTCGGCTGTCTATTGTGATTGCAGCTTCTTGACGCCCAACCTTCCTTGTGTTTGTTGGCGTGCGTTTTCTGCTGCACAGAGGCGGGTGCGAATCTGGGCTGCAACAGGATAGTGGTCCGAGTCGATGTTAGGAAAAAATAAAAAAAGTTTAACCTGTAAATACTTGAGTTTGATGGACGGCTTTATCCTATAGTGATCTCATATCAGCGGTTCTGAAAAATTATCAGTTTCTTGTGTGATAGAGAGRTAGACATGGAGATTGGAAGCCCTAAAAAGTGAAGATCAATATATATTGGATCAATTCTCTCCGAAAAAACACCTGGTTCCTTATAATACACACTATAAATAGAAAAAAGTTTGATATACATAGCTTTAAAGCGCAATAGAATTCCTAACAGTGGACGCATACGTAAATATAAATATAAATTTCTTAATCGTCAAATATGAGCACTTAATCTTAATTTATTATCGGTTTGGCCTAGAATGCATTTCTGATATATTGCCYCACAATTAGAATAAAGTAATTTATGCCAAGAAAATTTATGTTGTTTCAATAAGTTGTATTCGCTAACGAAATGTTGTGAAAATATTAGTCAATTAAGAATRGCATTTACTTAATCCGCATTATCGTGCAATTTGATGTATACCCCTCCATAAATGGTGTTTTATATGGTATACCGAACAGATGTTTAGTTATAGTTACTTACAACATTCTAAATTAGAAAGTTATCAAAAAAATAACATATTCTTCATGACATTAAAGGATATATGCTGCGAATTTATCACAGATGGTCCCCATTCTACTAATATACGCATTGCCTCGTTTAATAACATACAGTTACTTTTTGTGTTCGCTTACTCGGCGCCAATGTCCTTACTTCACTGTTTTGCGTTTCTAACAACACTATAAATCAAATGCAGKCTTTATCAGTGATATGGTTATGGGAGGTATTTCGAGTAAAACATATAAACATATTCTGAAAAGCCATATCAACTAAATCATGATACGAACACTTGAACTCTACGAAGGTGGCACTAAAMCATCGATAACCCGACAGTATCACCGAGGATTAGATTTCCGTTAGGMGTTATAAAAGTAGTTTATGAAGACAGCCCTTGAATTCTTTAAGGAAAATATAACAATCTATAGCTAAAAGCTTACAGGTTATTGCCTCGATTTTGTTCTTTAGGTGTTTGGAGTTTTGGTGGCCTATATAAACCAAAGCACACRCCATTTTGGCATTATCGATCTACAAAGTCTTGACACACGCGTATTTAATTTTATAGAAAGAAAATGCGTATAGTTTTCTTTCTTTTATTCGGCTTTATCGCTTTGGGTGCCGCCAATGAAGCTGAGAACCTGGGTGAAAATGAGTGGGACATATCATGGGAAGAGGGTTCGTACTCATAAATTATCTTCTTCTCTTTCCGTCCATATTTATCTGTATACTACCTTCAAGCAGGACAGGATCGTGGTTTGATCCTCAACTCTCAAGCCAAAAAAGCGATAAGAAACTTTATGGAGCAAATGCCTTGTGGTTGGCCTGATCTGGGTATTCCACCGCTAGCACCATACACTAATGCCGAGCTGAACCTACAATTATCTAGATCAGTAGTTGAGTAAGTAACGAACGTCTGAAACTGAGCTTTATTTGTTAACGCARCGCCGTAACCAATCAACTACTTACAGCTCCATTTTGCAATTCATCCGCTTCCGCTTCGATGGTTTGGATCGCATGGACATCAAAAAAATGAAAGTTAGCTACACATTCAAAAAGAGTGTTATCTACCATTTCGTCTTCAGGGAGTTGAAGGCCACCGCTCATATCTACAACACGGACACATTCGTTGACATGATGCGTAGYTTGGGAATGTCAGTGCGTTATGAGGGTACGGGCCCATTGAAATTCGCCTTACAAGACCTCTCCATTGAGGGTAGATTCAAATATAAGATGCCACTCTTCTGGGGCTCTATCAAGATTTACAATTTCGAAGCTAAGGTCACTCTCGGTGGTGTAAGCTCTAATATTGGCGGTATTTTGGGTGATGACAAATTTAATCGCTTCCTCAACGATAAGATCGAAAGTATCATCCCCACCTACATCAATGGTAATCAAAAGGAAATTAGCGAGCAAATTGAAAGTACTCTCGTGCCACGCATCAATGCCTACCTCAAGGGTCACAAAATTTGGTGGTTGTTGGGTCAGATGATAGGTTCCAGCAACAAATGCTATCCAACACCAGCACCATGGTTGGCGTTAGAGTAGTGCTTGGGCTATTTGATTTTGTAAAATGCGTTGATAAATAAATAAATTAAAAATGTACGTTGCTAGTTTTTTCCCCACGCTGTATTGCTAAATAATAGCATAAAGCTGAGCCGTGACATAAAGTTTCAGAAAGTCATAACTTCGATATTGTCAGCTGTCACTTGTTCACGTCATTTTAAGGAGTTGCTGTGTTTTTATTGTCATCTGCATCAGCACACYTTTTCTAGTTTTGAGTTGTAAACAAAAATATCACGACTTTTTATCACTCAATTAGGAAATTGCCCATAGTAACGAATTGGTCATAAATCTGACTTTGCCACTTAATCAGTCCAATCTGATAACACGGTAAATCAGCTAATCCAAAGTAAACAATCATTCGAAATGTCTGTCTTCCACAWAGAAACATATAAAAGCTAAGGGTGCAAGTGTGCAGAAATCAGTCRTTCGATTGTTAACTTACCGTTTTAAAGGTTTGTCAAACAGTCTATATCACAGTTTCGAGCATGAAGTATTTCTTGRTTTTGGCTTTGGCAGCCGTCGCTTTTGCGGCCACAATAAAAAGTCCTGACTTCGGGCTATCGCCATTCACTGAAGATAGTGAAATTGAAGTGATCAACGAGAATGAGGATGGCACTCAAGAAAGTAAGTTCACTATATTGTATTTGCAAAGCTTAAGTATCTTTSAACCAATTGCCTAATTTTGCACCGACAGTTGCGCCTTCGTTCATCTTGTCATGGCAGGCACGTCGCATGATTCGCAGACTCCAGAAGCAAATGCCTTGCGGCTTCCCACAATACGGCATTCCCCCACTAGCGCCATTGAAGAAGAGCGAAGTCGATGTACACTTCGAACGTGGCATTGTAGAGTGAGTATACTCTTTACATGTTTCGAACTAAACTGTTTACTACATTTGCACTTTTCTCATACTTGATCGCACCAGAACCTTTGATCAACTCAGCCGTTTCCGTGTGGATGGCTTAAATGATTTCAATATCAATAGATTCAAGCTGAACATAATTTTGTCCAAGGTCACTTTCGATATCACCTTCAAGAATATTCGTGCCTCTGCACCACACTACACCACTAACACGATTCTGGATGCTTTGCGTCAGCTRGGTCTCTCCGTGCAATACGAAGGTGATGGTACATTGGACTTTGGYTTGAAAAATTTGCGTATTGCTGGTACCTTGAAATACAAGATCCCTGTCTTGTGGGGATCCACCAAAATTACTTCGTTGAGGGCTACCATCACCTTAGACAGYGTCAATTCCGAAATCACCGGTATTTTCGGTGAAAGTAAATGGAACAAACTGTTTAATGACAAACTCGCGAGCTTTATCGAATCTGGCATTAATAACAACCAACAATTGATCACGGATAGCATTGAAAACACTGTAGTGCCACGTGTGAACCAAATACTTAAGGGTAATAATTTCTGGACACTTCTCGATGCGATTTTGTCCAGCATCAGTGGTAGCAGTGAAGATGATCCCATTGAGACCAATTGTGTGGCAACCGAGGATCCTTGGGCTTAAATATATATTAATAGTTTAAATAAATATTAAAATCATATGAATAACAAACAAATTGTGTTTATATTGTGTGCTCTGGAATTTCTGCTTTAGGACCCGCTAAACTTAAAATACAGAGTCCGAAAAGTAATAGGACTGATTTTGTTCCTAGCTAACGAACAATTGTCTCCGAGCATCTGGAGAGTCAGGACAAACATTTTCGCGCTGTGTTTATGTGAGTGGTGAAAGCCGTTCGTTAGAGCAGAGGTACGTGAAAACGATGCTAATTGTCTTTTAAGACATCAAAGACATCGTCCATCATGAATTTGTTCCTCCTGGACAAACCGTCAACGCCAAGTTTTATGTGGAAGCCCTCAAGAGATTTAAATGAAGCTTCAATCGGCACCGACAAGACATCGCAGTCGATTGGAAGTTGCGCCAYGACAACGTTCTTCACACCACCCTTCTTGTGAACAGCTACCTAACCAAGGCCTCCATCSCAACCATTCCACAGCCGCGCTAAAGCCCAGTTGTGGCCCCCGGCCTTTTTTGTCCGCAGAAGGAGCCTATTTGGAAAGTTTTTAAAGAATTGTAACGATTGGTTAAATCATTTTTTTTTTTTTTAATAGATTCCTCATTACTTTCCGAACAAACCATGTGTACTTGGTAGAAGGATCAGTTCTTACAGCATTGTGGCAATACATTTTTTGATCGACTCGGGTTCAGTGTTACGTTGTACTCTTTTGGTGCTCTTAAAACATAATATATTTTGTCGAAATCAATCTCTAAACTTTCTTATATTTGCTTACATTCGCTCAGTTTCTATAGTCAAAGTCAAAACGCCTTTTCTCCGAAATCAGCACTTTCGCGCACCCCTCGACGCTGTTCAATAATTTATGCTGCTTGCTATTTTAGTATGGCAGTAATCGAAACTGTTGGTAATCCGAATTTTATGGCCTCGCTGCTACTAAGTATAAACCAGTAGCAAATTCTTTCCCTTATCACTTTAGCACTTTCAACTCGAGATAAGCCAAAKAACAGGTGTTTCAAGTACCGTATATTASTAAACGCGCTACTTTTATGAACAACCAGTTAATCCAACACAGCTGGTCGAAATGCACAAGCTTATTTTCGGTTTCTGCGCGCTGTTGCTCCTCCAAGGCAGTCAGRCTTTGCAGGATGGCGGTTCGTCTGAGGAGTTAGAAATTGAGGCACGCAGCTTATTCGACGATRATCTACGTGAATTTGTGGAGTTTTTTCGCTTGCAAATGCCTTGYGGTTATGCGCCAGCAGGCATACCACCATTAGCACCTTTACAAACCGCCTACCGSGAAATGGATTTGACCACGGACAATGCAGCGTAAGTTGAACGTTGAATGCARCACAGGAACATATTGATTTAATCTCTTCTCGACAGCATACGTGGCAATGTCACCAATCTCAACATCAGCGGTCTCGACGTTTTCGATGTGCGCGACCTCCATTTCAACAACATACTGCAGAGACTGCGGTACGATTTGGTTTTCCCCGAAATTTTGTTTACCGGCCTCTATAAAGCTGATTTAAAAACTAAGCTCTTTGGTCCCTCAGTGCGYGTGTATGGCGATGGCACACTGCATTTGGCTTTGAAGAATTTGCGCATTTATGGCACTTTCATAGTGCGCCCCAAGCTCACGGGCAGCATGAGGATGACCAAATTCAAGATAACAACAGAGTTGGGCGCAGTGGAGTCGAAGTTGACCGGTATTATGAATAGTACATTGAAGACGAAGCTCATCAACGCTTGGATTGAACAGTTTATAAATCTTACATTCAACGACAGCCAGGAAGAGGTAAATGCGGCACTAACACATTGGGTTGTACCACCGGCAAACCAAGCGCTGGATAAARTGCCAATGGTTGGGTTTCTAGCATTACTATTTGGCATTATAGAAGGCTCATTGCCACAAGAGACACTTTGCTAAAGAATTATATAAAAATATTAAATTTATAAGATTTAATAATTTAAATAAATATCAAAAAAAGTAATCCAAAGTTTAATCAATTTTATATAGATCGCACTGCAGAGTGAATGAGTATTATACTAAGTAATAACTTATGAGGMTATAAATGTTTATCAAAATCGCATTAAGGTTTGAAACTAAGTTAAATGGACTTAGAAAAKATTACTACAAAACATAATAGTTTTGTTCATCTGATGGTTATTTGTATCACCGGAAACTAATCGGGATACACATYGAATTATATATGCATAAATGATGGTCAGGATGACGGGACAAATTGAATCACRTGTGATTGTCGAGTGATAACTTTAATAAAAATTAAGATATCGTCATAAAATGTTCTAAACGTGCTCCCTGGACGAATCGGGAGGGCGAGTTCGTACATGGGCCTAATCGGACCACAGCTACAAACACAAACGCCATTAATCGAAAATCCATAAAGTAAAATAACTAAGATTAGACAATTATAATTTGGCATAGGGGATTGCAATAGCAAGAGGCGTCCCTTGGCTAAAAACMACCAAATTCTCCTATAGTAAATATGGTTTGAACACATACCGACAGTGTGAAAATGGTTAAAATGTTGTTTACCACGCCTACTCCCTATATCCCCATATATCGGGCTAAAACCTTCACGAATAGTGCCTTTAAGGGTGCCACTAGGTACTATATAATCAAAATCTGGCAATAACTATTCGAATCCCCAGATACCGGAAAAATGAACCTCAGAGCATATCACTGAGTCTTCCCAAAATATCGGACAATATGTGAGATATATAATAGAAATTAGGAGAGTACTTCTTCGTGAAAATAGTTTGTTTTTTTAAATGGGTTGAATCGCCTCAATACTCCCCTTAGCCCCCATGTGCCTAAATGAAAGATTTTCGCACTATCGGCAGACTTTATACCACATATATCAGCCCAGCCAATATATGAGTTATCATAATTAAAAGAAGTGAAGTGTTTGTCTTCAATCGGTGTATAGTTCTATCTACCGGTATATGTAGTAATGTCAAAAATAGATAACATCGTGTCAAAACTACCTCTATCTCCCATATCACTTTCAGTTGGCTTTATACTGAACATATCGGTCAGTATGCAAGCTATCATAGCAAAAGTAACTGATTAATATGAATTGTTCGGTTGAACCTGAACTTAGCGCCTTCTTACTTGCTTTTATTTAACATATATTTAGTTGAAATCTAAAAATATATATTTTTTTCTTCTTTCAGGTAAGTGATCCTTTAGAAGATACGACTATACTAGTCGAATAAGCAGATGTATCCAACATATGCATAYATATATTTTGAAATTCAGGTAATTCTATGCTTGTGCGGCCTTCTAAAAGCAGCCTCATGCAACGGACCACCCACATTGGCTCTTAATTTAGTATGAAATAAACGCGAATCATAAAGTAGTCAGCTTAATACCTTCCAACAATTGCGACATTCAACACACGAGAGTAGGAACATGTGATGCATCGTCGCCTAAATAGAGAAATATAAGTGTAACTAAGGAAATTGAAGGAAAAATTCCTTTTCCGACACGACAGCAGCTTGCACTGATTCGTCTTGACTCATTTCATTTTCAATTTATGGGCCAATATGGACAGTTGCTGCGGCGGCAACGTGCAGTTTTCTTTATGAGGGTTAAAGTGCCGCAAAATAAAAGTAAAGTATTGTAGATAAACACAAATGTACATATGTATGTAGCTAAAGGCATGAACACATTGCAAAGAAAGACGGAAGGAGCAAATGTAGCGGTTGCTTGYCTTTGGCGCACTTTGAGGTGATGAAAATGTCCTATGGTTTTACGACTCTAAGCTACTGAAGAGCTGAGCCTTTCATATTTTAGTTGACAGTTATGAATGGCAGGCAGCAAAGCCGACTGGTGCGATGATGCAATAGGTTAATGAGTGAATCAATTGATTTCCAACGTACAGTAATCAGGGAAATATTAGTCATTGGCAGTTTTATCAGTGTCTTAAAATGGTAARGTCGTAAAAAATGTTTTTTAAGGAGAAACCACATAAATTGTGTGTAAGCAATGTGCAATAGTTTAAAAAATGTTTAACTCAACACATAGATATGCTATTTGTACTGAAGTGGTACAAATTCGTCCTTTCAAGACTCCATATGCAGTACTTATTTCAGTTACTACTGCAGTTTGCGCTGATGCTTTCTCTMGACTGTCAATGCACATGCTCGCCTTGCATTAGTTAAGTAGCTTCTGTTGTCGGTCTTACTGTCATTGTCTACCTTACTGTACACGGACAACACACCGACGAACTACGACGAGCAGTCGGCAGCAACAATTGGGTCGTCTAAATCAAGCTGCCCATACCACACGCTGTGCGCACGGTCCAGCACCTTCGTTTGTATTCGCTATTTCCTCCGTTTATTTCGAATGTGCTGCCGCCAGCCCGAAATGCAGGCTGTTACCATAAGTACAAATATTGCGGCAACAAAGGTGTGATTATTGTGTGTGTCAAAATCCTTGGACATCCCGCTGGCAGCTTCGGGGTTTTGTCTTCTTCTAGCACGCTTGGCAGTCTGCTTACGATTTGACCTCTGTATTTTGATACACATTTTGCTTCATATACAAATCCGATTAGATTGCTGCTTTAATTACGATTTATTGCGAAAAGTCACATGCATACAGACATATGTCGGGATATTAAACATAGTTATTGCTTGGGAATTTTTCTATATTTTTTTTTTTTGTTTTTAAAATTTTTCCAAAATCAAGTAAAAAAGTAAACTTTGGTTGCATCGAAGAATATGAGAACTTCATTCCGATCGTTTCTTCCAATTACGCCGCCGAGATAATTTTTCGATGAAAATCCGGATAGCTTTCAAGTTGTTGCTCAGCCCAATTCACGAACATTCGACGATTCTGATGGTCAAGCGGCTTCAGTTCTTACGTCAATTTAGAATGATCCAATATCTATTCGCAAAATTTGCCAGGACGACGTCACAAATATGCGCAATGCTTGAAAAGGACGTGTGAGAGACTGATTGACGTCGTCCTGAATT